TTATATATAGAGACATATATATATATATATATATGTATATATTAGGTATTCTACCGCCTGGAGAGTCTTGTAAACAAATGTAAACACAAATGATTCCAAACTCAGTATCTTCTATTTGCACACACCAGAAAATTCATACAGAGCAATGAATTAGCTGTTTTCCCATATCTGGGGATCACAGGCTTCAAGAATGGAAGCGCGTACGAGGTTGAATTTACTGGCCTTTGAAAGGAAAGGCTGGTTGGCTTGTGAGATATTGACTCTTGAAGCATGAGATTGGAGTAAGTGATGACTTCCAAATTGAGCAGGAACACGGATTTGCATGGAAGTGAATTTTGTCCGTATTAACACAAGCATGTGATCCCGTCAGCTTTATTTCCTATATTACCAGCATGATAAATTAAAGCTTGATCAATACCAGAGAGAACCCAATTATAGTACAGTGGATGGAGCCGACTACGATACAGCACATCAGGACATTCAACCCTAATTTAATTAGTTTGACCCTCATGAATATATTCAAAGTTTCATATATATATATATATATATATATATATATACTCTTCTACCATCTCTCTTCTTCTTCTGCTCATAACCTATATACTAAATTTACCGATTCACATGCTAGTTTCTTTTTTTTTTTAATCTTTTTTGGGATAGTTAGATGATTCATAATTGCGTATCAATAGTCACTATCAATAGTCACTATTGCGTATCAAAACGATGCGTAATATTTATATCAAAGGAAAAGCTATATATATCCAAAGCATGATGAATCTGTCCATTTTACTTCTTGTTGTTCGAATATGGGTATATTTGCAAGTTGTCTACTTACTGCCACTAAGCAAAATACAGAAAAAATCATGCAATATATATCAACTCAATTAAGAAAATTAATTGACTTGAATTACCTCGCAATAGTGGAGAAGATATATGTGACTACCAGAAGTATGCTAAAGAAGCTAGTGACAAATGTGGCAATGGTGTCTCAAAACAATCCTATAGCCAAATATTATCCTGCGTATAAATGCAAAATAGGATTCAACAACTCAAAGAGAGTTGAAAAACTGACAAAATGAATAATGAGTGGCAAATATTTCACTAAATAAGGGAAGCTGATAGACCATAATAAGAAAGCTAGTACACCATAAAAAGTAATCTATCATTATAGACTTGTGGAGATTTTTGACTTACTTTTTGTTTTATTATTTAAAATCTGAAGCCACTTTTGGCCTGACGCCTGACAGGTTCAAAATGCCAAGGGGAAAACGATGCCTATCAATAGTCACTATTGCTAGTATTAGTGCACTGATTACCTGCAATTTGATCAACTTTAATCTTTCAAACATAAGTTGTTTTTCTAAATAGAATTTTTTATTGTGTGTATTGTCGGTTAGAAGAAATAATTGTCGTTTCTCCTCTGCGACTTTTGTCATGTCGTTTAACTCAAACCACAAACGACATGTCTCATATATGCGTAAACTATCAAGACGTCATTTCTTTAGAGTAATTTTCGTGTTGTATGACGCCAGAAACGAAAAACGACATGTATCATGAATGTCGCTTCTGTCTTCAGAGGTAAACGACATGTGTCTGTATCTAACTGGATGACATGTCGTCTTTTGTTTATCAAGGTTATCAACAACAGTAACGGCAAGTAGCTTATGACTCATGTAATGTCATGTCCTTTAGATAACATAAATGACGATCCCTTAATGAAAATGTTAAAATCTCCATTCTACCATCAAGGGCTTTCTTCTCACTAACTAAAAAGAAGGATTTTTTTCTTCACTATTATGAAAGTTCCCTAATATTTAGTATTAAAATGATAAAGGATCGTCTACATTTCTTTGCCCAATAAAAAAGGTTCATCTTGTTTTAGACAAGAGAAAATAGCATCAAACTCAGAATGCAAAAATTTAGATATATCTCCCTATATATATATATATATATATATATATATTCCTTAAAGAGAAGATCTCTCCTCTTTTTTAATAATATATTCTTCCTTTGAAAAACCTTAAGTTGTAGAAATTTTGCGACATTTGTACGCTTAAAATCAGTCATTAATGCAGATGTAATTACTCCGTGCACAAGAAAAGAAAGAAAACTAGTAATTTCCTTTTGTTTTAAGATAATTGGTTAAAGAATTTCACACATTCTTGTTATTTTATGACGCACCCAGAGAAATATCGGCTTTAACATCGAAGGAGTTACTCTCCTCCTCCAGCCAGATCACTCACTAACCAAATGAAGCCTTGCTAATTTCTATTGCTATGCATGTGATCTCATCAGCTTTATTTCCTATATTACCAGCATGATAAATTAAAGCTTGATCAACACGAGAGAGAACCCAATTATAGTACAGTGAATGGAGCCGACTACGATACAGCACATCAGGACCTTCAACCCTAATTTAATTAGTTTGACCCTCATGAATATATTCAAACTTTCATATATATATATATTCTCTTCTACCATCTCTCTTCTTCTGCTCATAACCTATATAGTAGATTTAAATTTACCGATTCCCTCTCTCTCTCTCTCTCTCTCAAAGGTTGGACGGAGCACTCCTTTCTCTCTCTAAGCCCAGAATTAATCAAGGTATGAACATGCTAGCTTCTTTTTTTTAATCTTTTTTGGGATAGTTAGATTCATAATTTCAGTTTCTGTTCTGTCTAGTGATGAGGTGTGGAGGCCAGTCTCCTAGCTCCATTGTCGTCTTTTTTTTTTTTTTTTTGAGAAAGAAGACAAATACACTTTAAAAGTACTATATAAATCATTTTTTGGTAGAAATTTTAATTACCTAAATAGACACATGAGATCGGTATACGGAAATTGATGATCAAGATCACAAGACATTTTCCTTTTCTCTTATTTTCTTTCTTTGTATTTTCTATCATATTTTTTTTTAGAAAAAGAAGATAAATACACTTTAAAAGTGCATGATCACCGCATATATATCTCTCTCTTCCTCTCTACTCACCGAATATCTCTCTCTTCCCTCTCTCACTTCCTGTTCTCTCTCCCTCCACTATCTCTCTTCTTCACGCCCTCCATCTCTCACTTTCTTTCAGTCCTCTCCGGTAGCTGCACCTCCCCTGAAAATGGTGTGTATATATATATACATATATATATATATATATATTTTCCCTTAAAGAGAAGATCTCTCCTCTTTTTAATAATATATTCTTCCTTCGGAAAACCTTAAGTTGTAGAAAATTTGCGACATTAATTGTACGTTTAAAAGCAGTCATTAATGCAGATGCAATTATTCCATGCACAAAAGAAAGAAAGAAAGAAAGAAAACTAGTCATTTACCAAATGAAGCCTTGCTAATTTCTATTGCTATGCATGTGATCTCATCAGCTTTATTTCCTATATTACCAGCATGATAAATTAAAGCTTGATCAACACGAGAGAGAACCCAATTATAGTACAGTGAATGGAGCCGACTACGATACAGCACATCAGGACCTTCAACCCTAATTTAATTAGTTTGACCCTCATTAATATATTCAAACTTTCATATATATATATATATATATATTCTCTTCTACCATCTCTCTTCTTCTTCTGCTCATAACCTATATACTTGATTTAAATTTATCGATTCACATGCTAGTTTCTTTTTTTTTAATCTTTTTTGGGATAGTTAGATGATTCATAATTGCGTATCAATAGTCACTATCAATAGTCACTATTGCGTATCAAAACGATGCGTAATATTTACTATAAAAAATTCAAAACGATTTTCTGTATATACAAATCCGGGAACGTACTAAAGCAATGACTCTAATGTAAGAAACCCAGTTTAGAACCTTTTGCTAGAAGAAGTGTACAGTATAGACGTGGAAATTTTAATTACCTTTCCTTTTCTCTTATTTTCTTTCTTTCCTTTTCTCTTATTTTCTTTCTTTGCATTTTCTTTCATTTTTTTTAGAACGAAGAGAGCGCCGAATATATATCTCTCTCTTCATCTCTTTCCTCACTGAATATCTCTCTCTTCATGCTCTCTCTCCATCCACTCTCTCTCCTATATACTAGATTTAAGTTTTCCGATTCCTCCTCTCTCTCTCTCTCTCTCTCTCTCTCTCTCCCCTATATACAAAGGTTGGTGAATGAACTCCTTTTTCTTTAATATAATTTGAAGTCAATCAATCATATGAACGTGCAGAAACCTCATTTGCTTTAGAAAAAATGGCTAATCTCGTCCCACCCACAAATTGACCCTTTTTCAAGTCACAACCCTTTTGGGTTCAAGATATGTGTTATTGGATTCACATTAAGGTGGAACATCCATTCATGCATGCATGGAATTCGGTGATCAACAATATTGTGCATCAAGTGGTGGAATACTGATCCTACGGTTGATATGGAACATCTTACTTACGTTGATATGAAATAATTACTTCTTTCTGCCCTTTATAACCCCATCAATCATACCCTATCTTTCCTTAGCCTTGTTAACCTCCTCTCTTCTCTCTTCACTCTTTTTAACTCTCTCTCTCTCTCTCCCTCTAAGGTTGGACGCAGCACTTCTCTCTCTCTCTAAGGCCAGAAATAATTGAGGTATGAACATGTTAGTTTCTTTTTTTTAATATTTTTTGGGATTGTTTTAATCTGTGTTTTTTCATTTTTTTTATATTTTCGAGGCCTATTGTCTTCTTCTTTTTGGGGTGTCAATGAAGCTGTTCTTTCCATAATATATATATATATACACACTATATAAAAGTCAAAATATTTAATTAACTGTTTTGATTTATACATTACTTTTTACATAATGTTTGAAGATCTAAGAGATTATTTATGATAAAATGGAGATATTTTTTTAAACGTATTTCTTACATTTGTTTACATAACGTATTTCTTACATTGTTTTGGATAAAGATCTCATGCATGTTTAAATTACTAAATCCGCTTATTCAACTAAGATATAGTCTTGAAATTAAAAATGTAATATTAAAGATCTAATTTGATGTAGTGTTACTTGCCCCAGAATGGCTTTGGCGAGTTGGTTAGTTTTGGCTGCCGTGTTGCTGGCACAAGTATTCACAGCAACATTGCACATACTATCCAGAGTGATTATGAAGGACGGAACCTTCGTTTATGCGGTAATCACTTACCGTAATGTAGTTTCTGCTCTATCCATTGCCCCTCTTGCCTACTACTTTGAGAGGTTTGTTAGTTTTTAATGTGCTCATTTGGCTTTCTTTTTAATGTTTTTACTGTTTATAGCAGATGGAGCTTACTCCTAGTGTCTTCAATACTTAAATTCAATTTAATGTTTTTTTTTTTTTTTTGTTTGCAGATCTGCTGAAAAGAAATTTGGTCGGGCAGTTTGCTTCTGGCTTTTTGCTAGTGCTGCAACCGTGTAAGCCATATATAACTTGTGATATACATATAAAACAAAATATATCAAACTGTTTATGATATATATTTGCAATACAGGACATCCAATTCTGCATTTTACTATTACGGTCTCCGTGATGTCACAGCCACCTTTGCCACTAATTTATACAACTTAGTTCCCATATTCACTTTTCTCTTGTCACTCATCACCAGGTAAGACATGTATATTAAAAACTTTGTTTATCGTTATTGCCAATTTTTTTATACAAATTTTCATTATTTTGTTTTCAAATTGCATATGTGCTTGCAGAACAGAGAAATTAGACCTGCGAACCAAACAAGGAAAAATAAAGACTTTTGGAGTGTTGCTGTCGCTTGTTGGAGCACTAGTTGCATCCTTGTACAAGGGAAAAGAATTGTATATTGTTTACCACCACCAACACAGGGACTCTCAGACGGTCACCACCCAGAACTCCCATGGCCACTGGGCGCGCGGCACAATCTTGATCATTGCATCATGCTTGACACGTGCATTATGGTTCATAGTGCAGGTACGTGGCTAGCCACTTTAAGAGAACAAAGGATTCATGTTCATTTCATGTCTTTTGAATTCCCTTTTTTTTTAGCTAATTCTTATTATTAACACTTTATAAAAATTATATAAGATTATATAAGTTATTTGTTCTCTTTCTTTCAGCGTAAACTCTTGGCGGTATTTCCTTTTAAATATACGGCAATTATGCTGCAAGGTGGTATATCATCCACGCAATCAGCAGTAATTGGCCTTTGCCTAGATAGACATGTTGCTGCATGGAAGCTCGGCTGGAATTTAGAACTGCTCGCCATAGTTTGCTCGGTAAGCCTACAATTTCTAACACATTTAGTGCTTATAGAACTGTGTTTCTAACTTATTTGGATGCTTGTTTGGCTTATGGGAAAAAGAACCAGAAAATTGATGAGCAATATGCTTTTCCAAGTCGTTATGTTTCAACCGAGAACTTCTGGAGTTCATGAAAATAGAGGAGAATAGTTGAATTAGGACGCTTTTAACGAGAATGAGAAGCCTACATTTATGTAATCAATGTCAAAGAAATTATTTAAGTTTGAGTTTTGTTGATTTTCTGTTGCTTGTTAATTACCTTCTATGGTCCGCCTTTCTGAGTTTCAACAATGTTTGTAAACTCTTTAATGATGGATAAATCAATGTATATTACTGTCAGAATTTTGCGTTTAAAGTTTGTGTATTTGTGCAGGGAACACTTTATTCAGCCGCAACATTTTGCTTACAATCGTGGGTGATCTCAATCCGAGGCCCCACTTATCCATCCATGTTCAACCCGGTCGGTCTAATTTTTGTAACCGTAACAGAAGCACTCTTACTTGGTGAAGCCATCAGAGTCGGGAGGTATGTTTTATTTTTCTTTCATTCACATTTGAATTCACTCTAAATGGATAACAATTATCTTAATACGCAATATCCACATATCACTAACGAAAGCATTCTAATATTGTGAATTGGAATTGTATTGTACCAGTTTGATTGGCATGATCGTCATTCTCGCTGGGTTATACTCCTTTCTGTGGGGCCCCAAAAAGAAAGAAGATGGAGAATCGGAGTCGACAACCCAACACGTGATCAGAGATCGGGTCAATGCTGGATAAGTGTCTTCTATACTAGGTGAAGGCCATTGGAAGAAATGCTTAGTGATTGTTATATGTTTAGACAAGTAACATTCTGTGTTTTCTTTATATGTTTAGTACTCATTAAATACTTAAAAGTAATATTATATGTTTAGTACTCATTAATTTAAAAGATTTATTCTTATAAAGAGAATTACGTACTTAAATACGATCGTAAATGAGCATGAACACTAATTACAAAGGCATTTAATTCTAAATATCATGAGATTCATTTCTGCCTTTCTTTATGGTAAAATATTAAACTATATATAAGCTTCAACTATCACGAGTAACAGAACTCCTTTTTTTATGCATATATAATTAGTTTTCTTCCTCTTGGATAACGTTAAATATTCTTGTGTTACAAAACTATCACGTGTGTTAAACTTTGAATTATTTTCTTTACAACATAGCATTATCACTTTGAGTTCAGATTTACTTTTTTATTTTCCTGGTTACTAAACTTATTAATTATTTGTCCCTCTATTATTGGCCTAGCAGTACTTGAATACCTCTTCAAAAATATTAATTACCATGAAAGTAAATATCTATCCTAACTATAATAGGCCTCGCACATCCACTCTTCCAAAATATGGAGAAGGTCCTAATTCCTGAAAGTTATTATAAAGTTAAAATGTGTACACAACGTAATAATTATTGGTTATGAAATAAAAAATTTATCTTCAATAAAAAAATTATCTTCTCTCTTTCATAAAAATGGGTTGGCCATGGACAATTCGAATGGTCTACCAAGTACTACTTAAACAATGTTATATAAATCTCTTTTCACTATCATCTTTTATTTTCTGATTGATGTGTTCAAATTCTTGATAATTCATGCAATACTTAAGTACAACACCTGAAAGACCAAAAAAAAAAAAAAACAAAGAAAGAAAGAACTCAACTGTATTATTTCCTCTCACTAGCTACAAAAATAATTAAGCATATCCTAGATAAATCTGAATCAGATTATAATTTGCAGAATATAATCAGCAAATCAAACACGTAAACTATCACTTGTTTAGATGTTTCGAGTATAACAAATTGACTACAAAATTCCTTCATGATGATCATAAGTAGTACCGATCGTTATCATGGAATCAACTGTGCATTATAGATGTCAAAGCTGACCGAGGGCACCTAATGTACTAATTCCGCTCTTAAGTGAGTGTTGATTATTTTCATTTCACGTAATCAAGATCAAAAGGGTCCCCTCTCTAAAGTGTGTGTGTATATATGTAACTTTTATATGTTTAATATTACTTTTAAATGAGTGTTTAATATTACTTTTGAACATATAAATCTTTTATATGTTTAGACAAGTAATATTCTATGTTTAGTACTAAATTAATGAGTACTAAATATTCTATGTTTTCTTTTAAGTAATATTCATTTCTCTGAACAGAGATAAACGACATGTCGTCTTTTTTTATCAAGGCTTATCACTCAGGTAATGTCATGTCCTCTAGAAAACATAAATGACGATCCCTTTTAAATAAAGGAAACGTCATAAAGTTCGTTGGTGTTGTTAGAGTGTCGTTTTTGGATTAACATTTTAAAAGGAAAAAAAAAAAAGATAAATACCTTATACAAGAGTCCTGACTTTTACTGTTTATTCTTAGTTAATACCATTTTCAATTAAATATTATATTAATCACAAGAGTATTAATCAAGAATAAGGAATATTAATATAGACGAATGCACTTCTAAAGGTAAGTTTAGTAATTTCTCCTCCATTATTTAAGAGTAAATAGTAAGTGCAATTGAACCATGAAGGAGAGTTTAAATGGAGTGCATGCGAAGATAGCTTTTAGCTATCTTGATTATCTTCTCTATGAATATGAGAAACTCGAAAACAAATTGAAGACAACTAGACAAGTAATGAATAGGCATTTAACTCAATCCATCAGCCTTTTTTGTAGATGTCATCACCATTAATCTCAACTCAAAAATGGGAAGAACCATAACTTCAACGTTTTTATACATAAGTTGTTTCTTACCTTATTAATAGGTCAGTTTTCAAATTGATCAGAGAGCTTAAAATGGATTACAGGAATAAAAATCTTTTCAGATTACTGCAACTTCTTGCTCTATGTCCCCTTTAATTAATTTATCACGCCTCAATTTTCATATCCTCCAAAAGGGAATTCAGTAAATTCATCGAAATTTTATTACATATGACAAGCAACATGAAAACAATTACTTTTTCCAATACACATTAATAAAACCACTTGTTAATACGGAGAGAAAAAAAAAAAAAAAAAAAAACGTCAAAAATCCAATCCAACAAGAAAATTAAAACATGTGTATTCCAAAATGCAAGGGACTTAATTAGAATGGCTTCTTGAGAAACTCCATAACATAGGTGTTGAAAGCATCACACAATACTCGGAAGCCTTGGAATCCAGAACCCTTAGCCAAGGCCTCAAACTCCTTCTCCGTCCTCTCTTTGCCGCCGGGGTTATGCGCCAACATGATGACGTCAATGTGCACAACTCCTTTGGTGGCAAGGCTGGAGTCGGGGGCATCGGGAAGAATGCACTCCGCGACTATCACTTTCCCATTCTCCGGGAGCGCATCGTAGCAGTTCTTTAAGAATTTTAAACAGTGCTCGTCGCTCCAATCATGACAGATCCACTGCATTACAATAGTTTGACACGATTCAACATCAATATAAAAGCCCTTCATGTTCAGCTGAAAGATCACCAACGAGATAGGGAATAGTATGGTACGGAGGTAATTGAACAAAATATTTCAAAACTCACCTTCATGAAAACTGCATCTGCTTTTGGCACACTCACAAACATGTCTCCTCCAACATGCTCCACACCTGTATCACCCCCATAATCCATCTTAACATAATAATTACATATACATGTGTAGTAAATAGAGCATGTCATTTTTTTTTTTTAACTAGGAGGGAGATTTGCACTCGTGACCTCTGTTTATAAATCTGATGTGACATTACTTTCAATAAATATGTACTTTCTAACAGTAGTATTAATATAAGATTTGTTAAAGTATAAAACTATTGTTGGCCCACCTCCTAACAGTTTAAGCTTTTGGAATGGATTGGTAAACTAACATGGTATCAGAGCGGAAGATCCTGAGTTCAAACTCCCGTAATTGCACTCTTTATCCTCATTTAAAAATTGTCATGTATTGGGTTTTTAATATATCTCGAGCTTAAATATTCACGTGGGCTTTCCAATTAATTTACCCACACGATTACCCATTATCCAGCCCAC